CAATTTGGCGACATTTTCCACCTCGTTTATTGAAACCTCTGAAAATTATCAAAATCAATGCCTTTTTCTCAAATTTGGTGAATTTTTTTTATAAGCCCTGGTTACGCAGCATTGGAGTAAGTTTTTAAATATTAAAAAATTAGACCACAAACGCTTTTCATTTTCTCAAAACTGAGGCTTTTCTCCATACTGTCGTTTTGCGCCATTTTCAAAATAAACATAGACAGCGCTGGCCTTAGATAAGCAAAACTTGACCCAACAGTCATATCTAACAGTTGCAAACTTACAACAGACTTAATAAAACTCTGATTTTTCTCACTAATTCTAATAAAAATTTCTCAATCGCATGCCTCAGGAAAATAATTGAGTGATAACTACTTTAAAATAAACGCAGTAATCGAAGTTAATTACATTTTAAATAAGTAGGGAAAGTTACAGTTAAGAACAAAATGGCTTAGTTTTTCTGACTAATAACTATTTTATATTAATGACCTTCTCTGCTACATCTCCTTTCGTTTCTCAGAACATAGAAGTACTAACTAAAGCAACCACCATATAGTACTTCAAGGCTGACGCTTTTCTTACATTCTTCATTGCATTCCTAAAAAATAACAGAAAATTTACAATATCTTTCTCTAAAAGCTGTGATGTATAAGGATTCGTTATTTTCATGGTAAACTCTTCGATTTGATGCCCCGATAAAAAAAAGTCTAAATGGCGCGGAAATAGCTAATTTTCTTCCTTTAATCCCATAGTCACATAATTTTGAAAAAAACGGTCATAAAGTGATCAGTATTTTGCTCAAGACAATTTTATAAAACTAAGTGCATGTGCAATGTATGCATAAATTTGTATTTGTGGGGTTAATTTTTAGTTTAGTATATAAGTGCCTATGCATGGTTTTAAATAAATATCTTTAAATACATTGCAAATAGTCTAGCACTGCTATCTGGTGTATAGATTGAGAAATAAAAATGATTCCGGACATAAAAAAATAGATTGTTTTATATTTTTTGGCACGTTACTTATGAACACTCCATCTCTGAAATATCACGGGCACAAAATATATAAGGGGAAACTCCATTCTGCCATTATGACGGGAATGAGAAGGGAGGCTTTAAGGCGCAATTTTAAATACTAGAAATGAATTTATTCAAAAAAGCAAGTTTATTGTACAGAATGTTTACATTTCATACTTTAATGATAACAAATAAAAAGAGTTGATGTATAACATATATTTAAGCACAAAATCGTACTGATGTATAATCCATGATGTATAACATATATTACGTGTGAAAAATCACTAATCGATAGGTATTTTTACTAATATAAGATCAATAATTTCAATAATAAAGAAATATGAGATCTTCACTAATCACTTTACTTAGAAGACATGTTTAGAATCCTAGTCAAAATAAAAATAATTCAAAAATCAGATAAATATGACAATGTCAAAAGGAGACGAAACATTTTCGAAGTGAATCACGTTGAAGAATATAAAAGCATCAAAATAAATTTGTTCATAGCGTGAAATTGATAGTGTATTCTAGCAATAAATCTTCCTCCTACATTGCACTGTCTATACATTATCGTAACATCAAATTTCTACACCTAGCCATTTTTTTACACTGAATTAAAATTTAACTGAATCAAAAAAAAATTATTGAAAAAAGCATTTAAAACTGTTAAACCTTTCAAGCAATCTGGATTCATTTATTTAGCTTTTTAAAAAAGGACTCGTGCTTAATTCATAAATGGAAATGAACCTTTCAGAGCATTCTATTTTTACTGTGAACAACTGTGATCTGATGAGCAGCCGACGTTGAATTTTTATAATAAATTTAGCAGATAATACTTATGGAACTAATAGTTGATTGTTAAACTTTTTTTTTAATTCACCGTACTACCTGTATTTTCCTTTGAAAACATTTTCGCAATTACAAGTTTTTAAGTTTTATTGTTCAGCAAATTTTAAGTTTTAATTTTTTATTTTCCCCAGCAAAACAAAATTTGATGAAACGGTGAACACTTAAAACAGCTGCTGCTGTTGCTTTCATAATTTTGTGAAGCAGAGAGAAATGTTATTATATATTATTAGTAGCTTTTTAACTTCTTCGAAAGATTTGTTCTAAAATTTACTAATAATAGTTTTATTCAAGTAAAAAATAGCATTCCCGCAACAGCCCGGTGAGGGCCAAGAAAATTATGAAAGTTAGAAGACTCCACAATTTCATGACAAACAGTATGTGGTCAGCACTGTGCTTCAGTCCTGTTTTACTTCCCAGACCTGGTACCCATAGATCAGAAGCAGGGTGAATTTCAAGCAAAGAATATACATAGAGGAAGTCCAACTTCCATGATTTAAATCAACCCCCTGGTTACGCGCGGTTCATGTCTTAAAAGGAAAAAACAGCAACAAAAACAACACAACAGGGTACTTGAAACGGGTTTGTCGCCTTCTCTCCTTTTTACCTCTACTGACGATTGGGTGAAGAAGAAAAATTTTCACGTTTTATGTATCATTGGTTTGTTCTGCATTTTTAAACTTTTGTTAAAAAGGTCAGAAACTACTATTTATATCATCAGATTGTTAGGCGTTAACTCATAAATATATCAATTACGTAAAAGTTATTTATTTATTTATTCCTGGGCTCTTAACCTATTTGAGTACTTTTTTCCAATTCATTCTGTCTATATTATTTCAGATTTATAAAAGTGAATGAATTAACATTTCTGTTCATTTTTTTGCACTAATAAAAAATGTACGATAATATATTCAGGAAATACAGGTATAGGACAAAATAATAGGAGCACCTGTGAAAGAATGGAGTCGTCCTTCAACCGTTTAATAAACGGTTGGGCATATGTCGCAAGAGTGTGCCACCTAGTGGTGACGAAATGAAAGGTATCAGTCTAGCATTTAGCAGTGTGAGAGTTCCATGAGAAAAATCTGTACCTAGCAAAGCGAGATTATGTCCGACCTCTCTGACCTTAAAAGAGGCATGATAATTGGAGCTAGCCTCGCTGGAGCGTCCGTGTCCAGAACAGCGAGCCTTGTGGGTGTTTCAAGAATCACTGGATCAAGGAGTCTATCGGCATACACAAATTTGGGTAAGGTGTCTTCTGCGAAGCACAACAGCGGCAGGAAGTCGAAGTTGTCGGACCGTGATAGACGGGTGGACCGTGATAGTCGCTCGAAAACACGAGACTACACTACCGGTGATAGCGTCCGAGATGAATACCCATCTTCAGAACCCCGTATCCATGAAAACTATTCAACATGAGTTGCATGCTGCTAATACTTATGGCAGAGCAGCTATTCCAAAACCGTTAGTTTCAGCTCGAAATGCTTTGAACAGACAACAGTGGTGCCAACACCACCTAAAATGGACACAACCGCAATGGGAACAAGTCATATGGTCTGATGAATCCTCTTTTACACTATTCCAGACCACCGGTCGTGTGTTCGTGTGCCGAACACCGGCAGAAGCATTTCATGTTGATAGCCTGGTTCAACCCGTGAGACATTGAGGTGGTTCTGTGATGGTGTCGGGAGTTATATTTGACCGTGGATTGGGGCCTCTCGTTTTCTTGAGGGGATGGTCAAAATGGACCATTACCAAAGCATTCTCGCAGATCATCTTCACCCTATGCTTCGTACTCTCTTTCCGGGAGAACGTCCTATGTTCCAAGATGACAACGCCCCTGTTCACACATCTCACTGTGTTCAAACATGGTTAAATGAGCATAATGATGAAGTGAAACATCTAACGTGGTGTCTTCAGTCCCCTGATCTCAATATCATTGAGCTTTTGAGGGGTTATATATATATATATATATATATATGTCATTCCAAATATAAATGTCTGCAGGGCAGCCCAAGTTTTTTAAATTTTATTATTAAGATTGTAAAATTCATGTAAGTTGCATTTTTTATCTTTTTTTAAATAAATACTTCAACATTGTAGATAAATAATTTCCATTAGCATATGAATTGACAACATCTTTTGGAGGTTACTGTAAATTACAGAAGCACACTATATAGTATGTAAACCAATAAATGAAAGTAAACATAAAATAAAATTAAACTTCATATAATATGTAAATAAAAAAGTTGTTTATTTCAAAAGTACAATACAACACTTAATCTTTTCATACATTTGAAGGACAAAAGTCAGGTAAATCACGCATTCCATCTTTATCAACAACTTTAACTTTAAAAGAAGGCAAATTTACCAGAAATCGATGATTTATTTCTTTAACACACTTTCGTAAAAGATCCATTCCTTCTTCAAT